GCAGGGCCCGGAGGGTGAAATTGCAGAACCCCCAGTATCTGCTCATAGAAACAAGTCTAAGCAAAAAAAGAGAAAAAGGTCCAATCGCCAGGAATTTGAGACACTGGCCACGCCGCAGAGTCTCGAGAAGGCAAACCCTGAAGGACTGCACGGGGTCGATGAGGTTGGATCTATAGGTGACGCTGACACACACAGAGGGGTCAAGGAATCCACCAGTACAACGAAAAAGTCTAAAAAGAGGAAGCGCGTGTCTGTCGAACGTGGTGGTGGTTATCCAGTGCTTGACACCGACTCCGAGAACACACTCTTTGAGTCACTGGAAGGTCGTGGTTCCTTAACTGAAGAACGTGCAAAACCCAGGCCACAAACAGAGAAAGCCCCTTCCTATTCAGAGGAGACACGCGTGGGAGAGGTGCAGAGGTAACCCGGAGCGGCTACCTTCTGAGGGCGTGGCCCCTTTCCTCAGCAGAGTGTTCAGTGCAGAAATCAGAAGTAACCATGATAGGCACAGAACGTGGCACACTTGAGAAACGGCTCCGTGTACGAAACACAGCAGTTAGGTGGGATGTGCACTGAGAGCCATTCCAGACCTGAAATTCTTTTTTTTAATAATTATTTTATTCCGGGCGCATGTGCGTGCGTGCCCAAGATCCCGAGAGGAGAATGGAGGAGAAGGGATTGCGGCGTGACCATCCCCCCTGGGGGGTGATTTCTCGCTTTCTGTCTCTATGTCTCTCTCTGTCTGTCTGGCGAGCGCACGCGCCCTACAGTGAAAATCTCTCCCAAAAAAAAAAAAAAGAATTATTTTTTTTTACTAACTTTTTTTTTTTTTTTTTTTTAGTTTGACCAGAGAGGGACAGAGTGAGAGAGAGAGGGAGAAGGAAAGTGAGAAAGCAAGCTGCCAGGTCCAGGAACCACAGTCTGCCACATGGGAGTCTAGCACCCTTAACCACTGTGCCACCTGCCAGCCCCCCGCCCAGATCTAAAATTCTATGTGTAAGTTTAATGGTATTTAGGACCCCAGATTACCCTGCTGTCTGTGCGGTAGGAGGAGGAAGGATTAGTTACCTAATACTAAGAATCACCAGAGCAGCACAGAAACTTGTGTTAGGGTTCTCACCCGCTGTGGTGGCGCAGGTGGTCAGGCACCGCTGCTTGATATAAGAGCCGTAAGGGCCTGGTGTTTGGGTCCTGGCTCAGCCTGGATGTGTTGCGCATGCCCGCAGGTGCACCCACAACCCAGGCTGGCAGGCAGGCGAGGAGGAGGAGTAAGTACCACATGGCGACACCCTGTCGGGGATGCCTCAAGAGAGAAATAAAAAATGTGGATATCATCATTTATATAAATACCATTTAAGTGTACTATCTGGTGAAGAAATATAAGGTTTTGGGTTTTTTAAATTTGTTTGTTTGTTTGGGTTTGTTTCGTTTTGTTTTTGTTTTTTGCTATAGGGCCCATGCACTCGCCGAGGCTGAGGGAGAGGGAGAAAGCACCTCTATTGGGAATGGCCACAATGCTTTCCCCTCTCTCTCCCTGTCGGGATTTGGGGCATGTACTCATACAGGCCCAATGTGTGTGGGTTTTTTTCTTTTTAAGAGAGGTTTTTTGCTATAGGGCACGTGCTTTCACCAGAGAGACATAGAGAGAGAGAAAGCAAGAAATCCTCCCCCAGGTGGGATGGCCATGCTGCAGTCCTCTCTCCATTCTCCTGGGATTTGGGCACACATGCACATGTGCCTGGTGTGAGTTTTAAGCAGCCAGGTCCAAGACTTGAACCACACACAGTCAACTACATGAAGTTCAGTGATGTAATATGATGTCATCTGCTGGTGTCCCCCCCAGTGTATTTTTAAGCCACCAGGCCTGGGACTTGAACCACACACAGTCAACTACATGAAGTCCAGTGACGTAACATGATGTCATCTGCTGGTGTCCCCCCCCCAGTGTGTTTTTAAGCCACCAGGCCTGGGACTTGAACCACACACAGTCAACTACATGAAGTCCAGTGACGTAACATGATGTCATCTGCTGGTGTCCCCCCCAGTGTGTTTTTAAGCCACCAGGCTTGGGACTTGAGCTGTGTAGTAGACATGTGAGATTTGGCTGCCTTAATCCCCAGTCCACAGAGCAGCCCCAGTGTTTTTTTTTATTTAATTTTATTTATTCATTTATTTTAATTTGACCAAAGAGAAACATACAGAGAAAGAGCAGCAAAGTGAGAAAACCAGCAAACCACCACGTCTGGGATTCGAACCGTGGTTGGCCATATGAAAGTGCCCAGCGCCTTAACCACCATGCCACCTGCTGCTTCCCTCCAGTATTTTTTAAGACACTTTATCTCATAATTTCTGAGCTATAAGACAAGTTTTCCCCCCTGTGTTTACTCAGTGACTTTATATTTGTTAGGTTGTCCTGGCTTAACATACAATAGTTCCACTCAAAAGTTAAATGTGTGTTGGGACCAGCAGGTGGCATGGTGGCTAAGGGCACTGGACTCCCACATGGCCAACCACGGTCAAGCCCTGGCTTGCTTTCTCACTTTCCCTCTCTCATCTCCCTCTGTCCCTCTCTGGTCAAATTTTTAAAAATTTAAATAGAATAATTCTTTTTTTTAAATGCCATTAAAAAAAGTTGAATTGTGTACATTGATGAGGGTGGGACTGGTAGTAGCTGTGGGCCATCACCCTGTGTCATTTTACTGGGGACACTCAGAGTGCCTTCGTGGCGCAGGGATGTTCTAGGACCATAGTCCAAGTTTCTTTGGGCTGTGGGCCCCCTGGATGTTGTTCACCACTTGTTAGATGAATGGACATGGCTTTTGTAGGCGCCAGTCTGAAAGGTGAACTGAAATGTTGGAACATACTAGGGAGATCCAGGCATCTGGCAGAGAGTTTGGGTGGGCTAACGATAGATACATAGAAAACCAAGCAAAGGAAATAAATGAAGCCATTTAATTGTAGTGCAAGCTACTGAGACTATGTAAACCTTGAATGTTGATTTAAGTACTTAGTAACCACTATGTTGTAGAACTTTGCAGGAGGGTCCAGGAGAAGTGTTTGAATTTCAGAGGGGGTAAAAGAAGGCTTAATTTGTTAAGTCAATATCTTTTTAAGAGATTAAAAAATATAATAGCCAGGAGAAATTGGGCTTTGGGTCGCCTGTGTAATTTCTAAGCTGTGGGTTTACTGTTGTTTACATCCAAGCGAAAGTCATGGACCGAATCAGGTGCAAGATCCTGTGTATTAATCGCTTTGGATTTCTGGCATAAGAAAAAGTCATTTTAAGCTGTTAGCTGAAGGGGTGTGTTAGCGTTAATCCGCCGAATTTTCCTCCTTAGGTTAGAACCTGCAGATGAAGGGGAAAGCCATTTGCAATTAGCAAGAGACTCTGAAACAAATGATTTATCTGAAGATTCGCGAGATTCGGGCGATTCCGATGTGGATTTGGACTCGGCCGTGAAGCAGCTGCAGGAGTTCATCCCCGACATTAGGGAGAGAGCGGCCACCACGATCAAGCGCATGTACCGGGATGACCTGGGGCGGTTTAAGGAGTTTAAAGCCCAGGGTGAGTCTGGGAACCGCAGTGCTGTTCGAACTCTCCTGTACGCAGAGCTAGCACCCGGCTTTCTTTTGTGAATGATTCAGATTGAGATTCCCGAGAAGCAGCCTCTAGCTACTTTCACCTTTTTCTGCTGCCAGTTGTTGTCCGGCCTGTAAAATTAGTAAAGTGAAGTGCACTCTTTTCCTTCCCTTGTCCACCTCCTGGTAGAGGAGGCAGGAGAGGAGCTGCAGGGGCAGAGAACCCTCAGACTACACAGTTGGGAGGAGCCGATGGGTCAAACTGCTGCGGGGGCAGGGGGTCTACAGAAGCAAAAGGAAATGAAAACAGGGCTGACCCGGTAGCCTAGTGGTTAAGGGAACTGGATCCCACATGGCTGACTGCCTCTCACATCCCAGCCCCAGCAGCTTAAAACCCATACTAGGCACATGTTCGCGTGCACCCCACATCCTCACAGGATGGAGAAAGGGAGACGGGATTGCGGCGTACCCACACCCCACTAGGGTACTTTCTCTCTGTCCCTGTCTGGTGAGCACATGCACACTGGTAATACAACAATCTAACGCAACAGCCTGTCAGAGTGACACCCACTTGGAAGTGCTGTGGTTTTCCCCAAGCTGTTCATTTCAGGAGAGCTGGGTGCAGTAGGTTCAGTCTCGAGGACCCACTTGGCCTCCTGGTTTACTTCACCATTACAGGAAAACTTTCCAGAAAGCTTCCTGGATTTCAGAGTAAGCTGGAGGCTTAAGGCTGTGTGCTACAGATGAGCAGTACTTACTGAATGTCTGCTGCGAGGCCCGCACCACGGGTCACCGAGAAGAGAAACGGGCCTGAGCTTTGGAATGAATCAGGTTGCAGAGATTAGGTCAGGAAAAGGGACAAATTCAGCAAAACAAAAAGCACATATAATTTATAGAGTAGTACCTAGTACCCCATTTTTTAAAAAGAATTATTTTATTTAACTTTATCCTCTTATTTATTTATTTGTTTTATTTGACCAGAGAGGGACAGAGTGTGGCAGAGAGAGAGAGAGAGGGAGAACGAGAAAGCAAGCTACCAGGTCCTGGACTCGAACCGCAGTCAGCCATATGGGAGTCTAGTGCCCCCCGCCACCACGCCACCTGCTGACCCCCCTAATATCCCATTTTATTGGGATATTCTGTTGAAATTTTTGACTATGTTTTCTAAATAAACCTATGAACTGGCTCAGCTGTGTGGCACACGGCACCACCAGATTCGGCCCCCAGGCAGCCTGAGCATGCCAGGCGTAATTGCAGGCACATCTGTGGTCCTGGCTGCCTGGGAGGCCAGGACAGGAGGATCACGACACAGCAGAAGCTGTCAGAGTACCTGCCTCTCCTCCCTGTCTCTCTTTCCCCATCCCTCCACCATAAAGGAAACAAATAAATCTCTGAACAGGAAAATATATCAGCCAAAGGATAACAAACCTCAAATGTGTTACAAAGCTTGTGAAGTGCCCCGATGTCGCCCTCCCCTTAGCATATACACCATAGATGTAAGTCTTCACAGTCCTGCTCTCCTCATTTAGCAATTAGTAACCCCTACATTGTCAAACTTAGCAGGAGGGTCCAGAAGTGTCTGAAGAGTCTTACCCAAGAGAAGTCGTGAGCAGAGAGAGTAAGGAGGCTTCTTCTAGGTTTTTATTTCATAGTATTTAAATTTTTAATGAATATATGCTACATTTAAATTTTATTTATTTTTTAAGAGGTTTTTGCTATAGGGCACGTGCGCTCACCAGACAGACAGAGAGAGACAGAGAGACAGAAAGCAGGAAATCACCCCCCAGGGGGGATGGCCACGCCGCAATCCCTTCTCCTCCATTCTCCTCTCGGAATCTTGGGCACGCACGCACATGCGCCCGGCATGAGTTTAAGCCACCGGGTCCAGGCCTCGAACCGCGGTAGACTACGTGGGAGTCCAGCGACATAGCCATTACACTAACTGCTGGTCCCTACATTTTAATTTTTAAAAAAAGTTTTAGAAAGAGGTTGATGAAGGGACCAGCAGATGGCGTAGTGGCTGCATCACTGTACTCCCACGTAGTTACAGCAGTGCGAGTCCTGGACCTAGTATCTTGAAACTCATGGTGGGCATATGTGCATATGTGCCCAAGGTCCTGAGAGGAGAATGGAGGAGAAGGGACAGTGGCATGACCATCCCTCCCGGGGGGTGATTTCTTACTTTCTGTTTCTCCAACGAGTGCATGAGACCTATATCGAAAATCTCTCTCTAAAGGAAGGGAAAAGGAAGGTAGATTGGTGAAGCAGGAAGGTCACTTTAGAATAGGATGACCAGGGAGGACTCTGGGCAAAGAAGACTCTGGAAAAGAGTTCTGGCTTGGGCTGAACTGGGAAGGAAGGGCCAGATCTATAGTGGGGACTGGGAGTGCTAACGTCAAGTGCATGAGCAAGGGCTGGCCCCTGGCAGAGGCTCCGGCCGCCATCGAACTGTAACGACTGATGGGAGACCAAGCTGGGAGACCAAGCGGTGGGTCTGCTATTGCTCACTGCTGACGACTCATTCTCTTTCTCTCTCTCTCCCCAAAATTCTAGGTGTCTCTATTAAATTTGGCAAGTTTTCTGTGAAAGAAAATAAGCAGTTAGAGAAAAATGTGCAAGAATTTCTATCCCTGACGGGAATCGAGAACGCAGACAAGCTGCTGTACACAGACAGATACCCAGAGGAGAGGTCCGCCATCACCGACCTGAAAAGAAAGCACTCGTTCCGACTGCACATCGGTAAGCCGGCAGCTCCACCATCAGCCTTGCCGCAGCCTCGCGCAGACCAGCCCAGGGCGCACTGGGCGGTGCCGGCTCGTCCGAGCTCGCCGTGGCAGTACTCGTGGCAGTACTCGCCAGCCCCTGCTGTGGGGAAGACGCCTCTAATGGCCGTCTGTGTCTTCAGGTGTTTGGAGTGTGTTCGTCTCTCGAGTATCGTGCTTTTACAGACTTTAAAGCCATGAAGTTTTTTGTATTGCTGGAGTGAGAGCGAGAGCATGCATACGAGCACATCCCTTCCCGCAGGCAGGGCACACGGCAGTCCTTTCTCCATTTCTTCATCTCATCAGGGCTTTGGGCACACAGCATACGCATGGCACATTTTTCTAGCCACCAGGACCAGGCTTGGAATAGTAGTTGGCCGCATGGGATCCAGCTCCCCCAGCGACTGTGCTGCGGGGTGGCTTCAAACTGCCGCCTTTATCTTTCCTACTCAGCAGGGGTTATGGTTTGGGTTTCTCCTTCTGATTTTCTTCTTTTAAGGCAGAGATTTTTGCTGTAGGGTACATGCACGCCCCAGAAAGACAAAGACAGAAAGTGAGAGATCATCCCATAGCAGGGATGGCCACACCACAATCCCTTCTCCTTCATTCTCCAGGGATTTTGCACAAGCGTGCATGTGCGTCTGGCGTGAGTTTCAAGCCAATGGGTCTGAGACTTAAACCATGGTTAGCCATGTGGGAGTCCAGTGCCTCGACCACCACGCACCCACTGGCCCGTCCTGATCTTTATTATTTATCGTTTGTGTGTGCAACATAGATACCCTGCTATGCAGATGGTCTCTGACGTATTTTCTGTTTGTTTGTTTGTTTTTGGAGAGGTTTTCACTCTAGGGCACGTGCTCTCGCCAGAAAGACAGAGAAAGACAGAGACAGAAAGCGAGAAATCACCCCCCAGGGGAGGTGGCCACCCCATAATCCCTTCTCCATTCTCCTCTCAGGATCTTGGGCACACATGCACACACACCTGGAGTGAGTTTAAGCTGCTGGGTCCGGGACTCAAACCTTGGTCAACTACATGGGAGTGCAGCAACATAGCCACTATGCTAACTTCTGGTTCCTTAAAATAAATTTTTAAGGTTCAATATTTACATTAATTTCTTTGAATTTTCTATACATGTGAGAAGAGATTGGGGGGAAAATTACTTACCAGTGATTTACTGGGTCATCAGAAAAGTTATGTCATGTTTTTGCACGCACGCACGTGCACCGAAAATCCCAAAAGGAGGGAGAAGTGGAGGAGAAGGGATTGCAGCATGGCCCTGCCTGCTGGAGGGTGCCTTTTCTCTTTGCCGCTATCTCTTTCTAGTGAATGCATGTACTCGCTGGCAAATCGAATGAATGAATGAGACACGTTTAGTTTGGAAAGGTCTTTGTTCACCTTACAGACAAGTGTTGGCACAGGTCTCTAGCTTAGTGTTCCCTTCCCCTTTATTCAAGCTATGTGAAAATTACTTAGCCTGGCAGGGGTCTTTTCATAGTCAGACCAGAAACTGGAGCCTCGAAGTACAGAGCGTACAGAGCGTCTAGTTCACAGAGGTCGCCAAGGAAACGAGACTGAAGCCTGCCCCAGGGCCGCTTTTGCAGGACGTGCAACCTCTTCCTTAACACGGGGTTGTGAAGAAGGGCCGGCTGGGCTCCTGCTCAGCTGCGACTGCGCCGCGTGCTGGGCTCTTCGCACCCCTACTGCCTCTCTTCTGCTTTCAGGAAAGGGCATCGCCCGGCCCTGGAAACTGGTGTACTATCGAGCAAAGAAGATGTTTGACGTCAACAATTACAAAGGCAGGTAAGAAAAAACCTTACCAGCTTGACACGGAGCGTGTCTCTATTCTTTGTCAACACAGTAAAATATAAATATCCACAGCGATCCTTCTTTTTTTTTTTAAGAGATTTTTGCTATAGGGCACGTGTGCTCGCCAGACAGACAGAGAGAGACATAGAGACAGAAAGCGAGAAATCACCCCCCAGAGGGGATGGCCACACCGCAATCCCTTCTCCTTCCTCACTCTCCTCTTGGGATCTTGGGGACACATGCACATGTGCCCAGTGTGAGTTTAAGCCTCTGGGTCCGGGACTCAAATCGCAGTCTACTACATGGGAGTCCAGCGACATAGCCATTACGCCAACTGCTGGTCCCATGATCCATTAGAAATAAAAGCGTGAAGCTTTTTGTGTGTGAAGCTAGCTTGTGTGTTTGTTGTCAAGAGCGTCTTCAAGGCCTGCCACTGTGGCGCAGCCATGGCTCATGCTCTGTGGCACTGGGAGCCCTACAACAGCCACAGTTTGGATTCCAGGTTGGCCTAAAGAACACGCCAGGTACACGTGTGTACCCCCGATCTTGAGAAGCTGGAGGCTTGGGGAAAGGGGATCGCGGTGTGATGAGACCATTGAGGGTGCTTTTTTCTCTCTGTCTTGGACATGCATGCTCTTCCTATGATAAAAAGAAAGGGGAAAAAAGAATATGTCTTCAAAGCCCATTTCAGCTTCCACCTCTTTAATAATCTTTTTGTGATTTTTTTTCCCCAAATCCTCAGCTTTTATTTATTTTTGAATTTTAGCGCTTGACTTACATACTCTGCCCCTTACTATTTTTATTTTTTTAATTTGCCATAGGGCACATTAAAGAGAGAGATACAAAAAGAAAAAGTGAGAAAGCATCCCCTTAGTGGGGATGGCCATGCTGCAGTCAGTTCTCCATTCTCCTCCCAGGATTTTGGGCATGCATGCACACATGCCTGGAGTGTTTTTCTTTTTAAAAGAATTATTTTATTTAACTTTATTTATTATTATTATTTTCCAGTTCGATCAGAGAGAGACAGAGAGGGAAAGCGAGAAAGCAACCTGCCAGGTTCAGGACTTGAACCGTGGTCAGCCATGTGGGATCCAGTGCCTTTAACCACCATGCCACCTGCTGACCCCGGAGTGTTTTTCAAGATGCCAGATCCAGGACTCAAACCTGGACACAGGAGGTGCAGTCTCCTTCGCTCCCTATTTCTCTCCATCTCTCTGCAGCAAGATAAATTCATACAGGGATTCCATTGTTCCTTGAACTTTTTAAAGTACCCTCAAATATCGTTTTATGAGACATTCATGTACTTTAAATTCTTTAAATAGTCAGGACTAGAAGATGCATAATGGTTACATCGCTGGATCCCCCATAGTCGACCGTGGTTCGAGTCCCGGGCCCAGTGAGTTGAAATTCATGTCAGGCTCATGTACGAGTGTGCCCAAAGTCCCAAGAGGAGAATGGAGGAGAAGGGATTACAGTGTGGTCATCCCCCCCTGGGGGGTAATTTCTCGCTTTCTGTCTCTCTGGCCAGCACACACACCCTATAGCAAAATCTCTCAGAAAAAAAATAAATAAATAAAAGAATTCTTCAAATAATTACATACTTGTTTATTAAATGTCTCTTGCCGATCGGTCATTAAGGTTACCAGTGGTGTACAAGAACAACAAGGCCCCTGCCCTTCTGGGCCTACCTTCTTGAGTCATTCCATCCAGTACGGTGACCAGCAGCCTCATGTGGATGTCGATCCCTTGAAGTATAGTTAGTCCGCCTTCAGGTGTGCTGCGAGTAAAGCACACACTGGGTCTCGAAGGCTTCGTCTGAAGAGCAGGATGTAAGACGTCAGTGCTTTTCAGTGCGGATTATATGGTGATAACATTGTCCGTTTGTTTGTCGAAGGCACATGTGCTAGCCGGAGAGACACAGGGGAGGGAGGAGAGGAGGTACCCAGTGGTGGGGAGAGGTAACACCACAGCCCCTCCTCCATTTCCCCGTCCTGTCGGGATCTGGGGCTTGCGCACACGCGTGCCCAGTCTAGTTTTCAAGCCACCAGGGCCGGGACTTGAGCCACACGGTCAGCCTTGTAAGCCTCGTAGGATCTGGTTCCCTTAACCACCAGGCCACAGGGCTGGCCCAGTAGCCTTTTTTTCTTTTAGGTATAGGAGACCAGGGAGTTTATTGAAGGAGAGGGAAGGGAAGCAGGTCCCAATGAGGGAGGGGTCCCAGAAAGTGAGTTGCCAAGGAAGAACTGTGGCATGGGGTTGGATTTGGGTAGGAAGGGCTTTGCCAGCACTTGTTCCAGGTGGGGCGTGTGCGTGCATTCCCCTCGGGTGGGGAGGGGCATGTGCTGGAAGGGTTCAGCTGTTCTCCTGATTTTCAAGTGGGTTAGAAGGTCAGGAGATTGTCCAGGGGTTCTGGGCCCTGAATTATTGAGAACAAGATTTACATGTCTAAGGTCAAAGGAATATGGTGCCTGGGAGAAGAGGAATTGTCCAGAGCCTTGGGAGGGGGAGCTGCTCTCTTTACCTGTGAATGGGCTCCAACTCTGTCTCAGTCATCCTCTGAAGGACCCCAACTGCCCTTACGGAAGCGGCCGGAGACCTTTCTGACTGCTTC